TGATATATCCCATTGCTAATATGAAGAGCTTGAAATTGTATTTTTCTCTATTTTTATACTTGCTAAAGTAAAATTTCCAGTTGTATTAAGGAGTGCTGTAGTTAAGTTTTCATATTTTACAAAACACTCATTTTTCTTTTTCCTCCATTTCCATTATATTTAATATATATAGTATTTAATTTTCATATTTATGGTGTGGTGCTCCATCTGGTTGCTGATTCCTTTATTATATAAAGTTCTAATTTTTAAAATATAACTGATAAAATTTTTCAGATGTAACTTTGGTTCCCTTTTCAGCAATGAGGAACCTAAAACATAGATACACATCCTTTGCCATTTATAACCTGCAGTCACAATAAATCAATATCATGAAGGTGCATGAGATGCAGTGGAATGATTAAATCCTCTAATACTATTGACTTAAAACCTTTTGTGATATCATATATTGGCTGAGTTTATATTTACAGCTATTTATAAATAGCTTATCTGAATTTAACATTTTCGGTTTAGACGGCATGTTCTGTTTGACATCTGTGATATTTTGGAAAGTGCTCTTGAGAGCATCAAAAATGAAATGAACTCTTCGCTATGTTTGCTGAAAAAGATTTCACCACCATCCACGAGGTTGTTTCAGTATATGTTACAATCTCACAGACTCAATACTATCATTAAATCACCGCCTTTATTAGTTTCTGGAAATAATTCCAAAACTTAAAAAAAAAAAAAAAAAGATCTTTTCATGACTCTTGTGTTAACTCAGTCTACTTGATTATAACATCCATTTCTCTTCAGATAGCACATTGAATTTAGTCAATATGGACACATATGTTACTCTATGTAAGATTCACAAAGTGTGGGCATGTATTTGATACTAGAGATATCAGCATAATATGCAGAACTTGGAAGTATTATATTACTATACCTAGGATCCAGTATATACACATCATCCACATATTGGAACTACCAGTGAAGTTGGGCAATGTTCTCATCCACCACATTGCATTTTTTAATCACCCACAGAAAGGGAATAAAAATAAGTATATTGTATCTGAAACAAATTGTGTCAATAGAAAAAGATTACAAGGCAATCTGACTAGTAAAAGTAACATTTGCTTATTTCAGTAAATCAGTCTCTATCCTTTATTACTTAGTAATTATTTTCTGTAAATTATTACTTAGTAATGTATTACATCTGATTCAGAAAAGCCTTGCCCTCTGATTTATAACAGAAGTTGTCTTTGCTAGTATCATATAATGTTCTCTAATTTATCTATGGTATCTCTGTAGTTGTAAAGAGCTTCTGTATTCACCTATTGTGATTGCCATGTCAGCAGACACTTTGTTCTAAAAGGAGTCAATAGTTAAATTCATAACCTCCTCTACAGTCTTGATGTGGATTTACTGCTTTATAGGGAATACAGACTGACTGGCTATTTTAATACTTCATTTCAGTCCAGTTAATAATATATAGAACAATAATTTTGGCTAAAATTATAAACTATAGAGTTAATTTACATAAGGAACATTACCTTGTTTACATTTGTATTTATATTAAAGTATTAATAATGAAACAGAAGGAGAATTATGTTTTGTGATCATGAATGTGTTTTCATTTTGAGAAATCCTAGGTCTGAACTTTCCATGCTATCAATGATGTTTGATGAAAAATATTTGATAGATTTTATGTTTCTATTGATACTGAACTTGGTACATTATGTTGTTGACCCATGGAAATTAACTCCACATTGTTTTTGAATCACTATTCTTATTTGCTGGACCAACTGGTCTCTCTCTCTTTCGTTATTCCAATAGGATTGAGACTTTTTCCCCCCAAACCCCAAGTGGAAGAGGAGTCAGGAACCATACTCACAAAGTGCCCTGTGTACAATAAACAAATAGAATCTTGGTGTGTATGATTATATAGAACTTAATATTTTCTTATCTCTTGTAGCCTCACAGCCTGAAAATTTATTCTAGTAAAGAGAGAAGCTGTATATGCCTTTTCTTATTGTATAAATCTCATCTCATATTGAAGTAAATATGACCCAACACTTATCCATGACATTTTCAGAATTCAAGCATAATGACAGGGTCTTTCCTTTCTTAATGCTATGATTATTTTCTAGCCCTTATATACTTATAGTCTTATGACGGATCAGGATATTGTGACAAATGAGTAAGAGGCAAAAGATTGCTTCTTCAGTTTTTTTCTCATTTAAAAAAAAAAAGTAAAATCAGTGTTTAATGCAGGTTGATGGAATGCCTCAATGATTTACCCATGTCACCAAATGACATAGTTCCTCATTTCTGTGTTTAGCAAAATAAGATTTCCAGTCATCTTTTTTCTTGACATCAAGGTCCTAAAAGGATTAAACCCTCCCATAAGCAAACACTGTGTAAGTGAGCTTATGTATATAGTTCTCCATGCTCAGTAGAAGTGACTAATTCTTTATAATATCAGCATCATCTAGAATGGAAGCACTGAAAGCAATAGGACTGTTTTTGGTCCTCTCCCCATGCTTTCTTTCTTGGCCTTCACATATATAATCTCTGATATCTTGTCAAAATACAGTTTGCATTGCATAATGTTTTGCTGTAAAGCCATTCCTCTTTTTTAACTGTTCTTTTTTTCTTATCCTTACATTATATATGTTCTGGTTTTAAGAAATAACAATCTGCAAAGGCTTTGCTGCATGCCACCCATGATTACAAAATATTTTCCCAAACCAAATCATAAACATGTTGTTTAACTGAAAGACATTCTAATTTTCATGCTATGTTGAGTATAAATATAAATTCAAGGCAGCCAAACTCTCCCATTTCCAAATAAGAATATGTACCTACACTCATTAAAAATCATCTGGAAATGTGTATTATTAGCAAATGAGTAAGAAATTTTCACTAGTATAAAATTCCTGCTTTATATAAAAGCCACACTGGCCATTCAAGTATTTTGAGGTTTTTTTTCCCCTATAGTTTTATATTTGTACTGAAAATGATGAATTTGGACTTGAAATTATATTAAAGGAGAACTAAAAGTCACTTCTACCTATAGGGCATTTTTTGAGTGTGCATGTAAATGGCAAAGTGTCCATCTGCAGATCCACCATCAACACTCTTTCTCTCTCTCTAAGGAAACAGCTCATGCTTACTAGGGTTTTAGAGTACAGTTAACACTCCAAAGGAGAAGCAACACCAGATTTCCTTCAGTTTGTGCCAGTTTGCAAGTTAAAGGTCAAAGGGCAAAGACATAGAACAGGACTATTCAAGGAAAATTTTCACAGAAGACAATGTTTAAGTTGTTGTTAATGACAGTCAACAGATCAATAATCAAGTTCAAGGCAAGCTGTTCATTGTTTCAAAAGCTAATCCCCTCAAAAGCTGGCTTTCACACAAAGCCAATGTCTGACTCATGGGGTGCATTCGGTCTGACCATCTCTGATAAGTTCACAGCCCAGTGGCTGTAAAGCCTTTCACTGCAAGAAGCAGCTCCTAAAAATCAATAAAGAGGTCTGTCAGTTGCTGACTTTTCTCTAGGAAAAAAATATTGATACAAACCTGCACTGCAGGTCACATGAAAATGACAATACTGCTGTTAGGACAAATTACACTCAACAATGAAATGCTTTGGTGGTCTCTTGGCTCTGTCAGTGATCAAATGGATGGCTAAATGCCAGAAGCCACACTAACCCTTTGAGAACTATGGTTGACATGCAATAGGTAATGCACTGGAGGATATTCATGCAATCTCAGAGTCATCATTTTAAGTCATTTTTAAAATGGCAATGCTAACTGCATGTACCAAGGCAAATTGAATTTTCATGCAATGGATTTTAAAACAGAAATTCAATATGTCTAAGAAAAAAAAAGACTTAGGCTATTATAATCAGTTCTTCAAATAAAATTTCACTCTTACATTTTCTGAATAAAATATCTTTTATTTGCCAGGAAAAATTTTGGCAAGTAACATTTTTGTTTGCTATAAACGCATTTATGTAGTACCGCAAATCACTTAAAAATTACATGGGATTATAGGATGTCTGTTTTAAAAACCTGAACTTCTTGAACCTGTGTCTGTTTTTACCATTGCCCAGTTCTATAATTTACTAGATAGCAAGACTGACAATCCTAAGACTCTGAAAGCTAGTCTGATAGTTCTCAAAGGGTTACACCAATGTATTACTAGAGTCACATATCCTTGCAAAATAACTGTCACTTTAAACCACTTTGGAGACATACTGCTTCTTGCTCTTAATGAATATTCCTGACAGACCCATGGAAGGCCCGGGGCAATGGCCTAATACAACTTGGGGAGATTATCACAATGATGTAGGGTCAGGTGGCAGGAAGGGGATTAGAAACACTTCAAAACAATCAAAGGTCCTTTTTGAATATAGCTATGAATATAAATGTGATGAAACATTGAGGACATAGCTGAGAACAGCTGTATAAAACGAAAAATGGATGTATTATTAAGGCTGTTACTATATTGCAGATATTTTGGCCCCTTGTTTGTTGGAAAATGGCTGTCCCAACAGTCTAAAGTCCTGCATGTGTATTCCAGATCTCCCACCTGACAAAAATGAAGTGTAGGAGACTATCCATAGCAGTCAGAGAGCTATCTTCTTTGGAGACAAAGCTGTTTTGGGTCTTCACACTTTCCTGAAAGTTCAATTGTGGGTTTTTTGTTTAACCTTTTTTTTTTTCTTTGCTTTAAAGCAAAAATTCATGGGTTTTTCCATTTTGCTTTTTTCCCCCAGATAATGGGCTCAGGCTTCAGAAGGAAAATAATATTGGAAACCTTTAAGAAGAATCTTTTTTCTTCTTTTTTTCCTCTTCTTTAGTTAATCCTGAAAATTTACTGGGCATTGAGCGTGCAGAGGAAAGGCCTAGAACTGAATGACAAAGAAAGACAAAGGACTGAAGAACGGCAGATACTGTGCATCATGGAAGCTTCCCCATGAGTGTATTTCCACTCATGTGCAGGACCAGCAACCCTCTGGGTTTGAAAGGTCAGCCCTGAATCAGGCTGCCACAAGCCTGCTCCTAGCTAGGAAACAGCATAACAGCTCTTGTCTTGAATCTCAAGTTACCACAAACTCCTGGAAAAGAAAGAAAGAAAAAAAAAACCCTACATCACACCCACTCTTGCATAGAGCGTTTACAGTACAGTATGTGGCGGGGTGTTCCTTTCCTCTTGAACTGGAACACAGTGTAAACCAATACAAGGAGGCATAAGGCCAAGATGCAGGGAATGACAATAGCTATGGCTTTCACAGTGCTGGCTGTGTTGTCCAGTTTGATGACAATGTCTACATCGTCTGGTGGGCTGTGTCCTTCTTTATCTCTGTCTGTTGGTCCATCACAGCCCATAAAATCCTTGAGGATGGATCTGGGATATCCAGGTTCTACTTTGAGTATCTGGTTGTTGAATTTCCAGTACTCCTTTCCTTTGTAGAAATACGTAAAGCCTAGAGGGGGAAACACACACACATAGGTACCACTTATTTTGAAGGTGTATATGTACAGAAATTCTTATTAATTTAAATTAGGCTACTTTTTAAAAGATGTATTTTAAGGCCCTTCCATTTTGGTAGGAAGAAAACATTATCTTCAGCTTAGCTGTCTTTTGAAATAAATCTGGCTGGTATACTGTAGAAGTTGTACTCTCTAATGCCTATGGAAAGCTTAGCCAAGAGTCAGAATATCCGTAGAGGACTACTGAAAGATCATGCTGAACACATCTTGTCCTAATCTGGAAGGAGAGCTTTACCCTGTTTCTTACTTCTAAGGTTGCAGTTTCAGATTTACCCATCAGGGTGATAATACCAACTTTACTGAAATATGCTGAGGCAGCCTTATGAACTGAAGCACTACGTGCCTGCAGAGCTGCTGTTGAAGACATTGTATAATGCACCTGAGGAGGCCACTCCATGAAACACCTCAGGGGAAATTTCTAATCATCTCAGTATTGGGAGCAGTTGTACTTAAACACTAGGTTCGCTTTTGTCATTTGGACAAGAAATCACAACAATTTATAAGTCATGAAGCTATGGAGATGTTTTCTTTGCTAGGAATCTTAATAAGTAAATAGGTATTTCCTTTTCATCCAGAGCTGCTTCCTGTCAAGTTTCTTTGTGACTGCACTTTTTGCACTTAATTCCTGCTTTGAGACAAAATTCAAGAAACCAAGAGGAAATACTTTAATGTTATCATTACGTAAAAATTGTATTTTGGGAGCCATTTTGAATAATATGCCTACTTTAGAGTTCATAATCATTAATGAGGGTTTTCTATATCCTGTATTATTGAGCACTTATTATGGAAGAAGTATTGTGCTTAAAGCCCAGTAAATGACATATTTTAATCCTCATAACCACTCTGTCAAGTAGAATTATTTACCTATACTTTTAAGGCAAAGATACTGATGCTCAGAGGTAAGATACTATGTCCAAGTTCTGGTGAAAGCAGAAATTAAAGCTTGATCTAGTTCTAGAGTCTGAACACTTAATGATTTTCTTAGAACTGTGTCCTTTAAAGAGCTCCTGTCATTTAACAAACACTTCTTGATTAAACATCACAGGTTGTGATAGGTTAAAACCCATGCACAAAAAACTGACACCTTTCAAAAAATTTCATCTAGAATAGACCATCACTTCAGGTCACCTCATTTTGGAAATCATTCTGTTCAATGCCATAAAAATCTGCTGTTACTTTCTATTTCGAAGGGCAGTTTTGCAATCAGAGTAACATGCCAAGTGAAAACAGGTGTATGTAGATTCAAATATTTCAGCAGGGAGCTGGTATTTGATCATGCTAATGAAATCCAATGTAATTACTCAACAAGCTTGGATGAAGAAATGTTGAGGACTTGCCATATAATAGTACATTAGACAACCACAGTTGAATAATGGCATTGATTTAGAATTAAAAAGACCTTCAAAACAGGTGAATGTACTTCTTATATTTATAAACTGGAAACCCAACAGCTAGAATTATCTTCATCTTTAATTTTTTTGTCAAAGCGAATTACTGTGAACCTACTGGGTAACATACAAAAGTCAGAAGTTTCCATTTTCATATTTATGCAGGGCAAATTTTATAGCAGCACACTCCATACACAGAAGTAGAATGGTAGTTTATTGAGTATATTTGTTAGAGATAACAAGTCTGGTCAGTAGAAGTTAAATAATAAAGGTATTTGAAAAGAAGTGGCCTGCAATCTTGGTAATAGGAATCTGTCAAACTTTGATCCCACAATATTCATCTCATTCAGTAATAAGAAATATGAAATAGCAGTTGGTGGAAGAAATGTTGATGTACTCATTTTTTGTCCTTTTTAAGAACAGCTTTGATGTTATACTCTTGTAGGTGTTATGCTTATTAAGAATAGCAACTTCAGATGAATTCTTACCTGAATTATTATTTTTTGAGAATCCCGAGGAAGAATTCAGTGGGGACTGTAATGAATTATGTGGTGACTTTTTTTTTCTCCCATATTTGACCAGATTTTACTCGTGACTTTTCTGATGTTTAGTCCTAAAATGTAACAAGACACTGCCCATCATAATTGTCTTGTTCTAACTTAGTAGATGTCTCTGGATGATAGTGTCTATGTATTCTCTGTCTTGCACTTTTATGTGCGTATTAGTAAGAAGTTAATTAATATTTAATAAATGTGAATGAATAACTTTAACTTGTGGAAATACAGGTCTGAATCACAGTTGTACATTTTAACAGAGAATGAGCATAGGGAGTAGGGACTCAGCAAGTCAAGAGAATCAAGAGTCAAAACTATTTTAACAGCGATCAGCAAGATGAAATGCAACCTTTGAATAGTGTCTTATATTTGCCTCAAGATTGCATTTTCTAAGGAAGGAATAGAGAATACCTAGGTGGTATGGCTTGGCAGCAATTAACATAGAAACAATTTGAAGGAGAGGGGATGCAGCAGTTCTTTACTACAACTTTATATCTGTTAAAAACTCACTGTTGCTTAAAACATAGTCAGATAATGAGTGCTAGGAAGAAATCATTCCACTGTATTCTGCATGAATCAAATTTCATTTAGATTATTTCATTTTCAAAGACTAAAAGTAAAGAGAGAAATGAAAAAAACTGTTAAATCAAGATGGTCTTACAGGTGAAAAGCAGGAGGATGATGGCTCAGGAAAGTACATTCTGAGAAAGCCTGGATTTGTCTAGCATGGCAAGATAAAAAATTTAACCAGACATGACAGATAATCAGTTACTTTAATGATATACTGTAGAGAAAGGTGTTAACTTTTCCTCTTTGGAGATAATGCATTCCAGCACATTCAATGGGGCTAGAATGTTCTAGTTTCAAACCTCAAATATATAATCTTACTTTTTTTTATGATTATGAATAAGTTGCTTAAACTGATGCCAACTTCCTCATTTATCAATAATAGTAAATGACATAAAAAGGTATTTATGTTAGACAAATTAGATAATGAATTTATGTGGTATATCTGATATATGATAGGCATTCAATAAATACCACAAGTATTCATATTTATGAAGATGGCAGAATTAATATCAGTAGTGTATATGGAGGCACATGCCACCTTAATATGAAAAATATCCTTCAAAAACCTATAGCTGAGTTGCTGAATTTGTGGACTTTTCGTTTGTTTGTTTAAGAGTACAAGTAGGAGAAAATTCCAAGGAAGAAATTCCTACATTGATGGAAGGATAGACCAGAGAAAACATTCAGTGGTCTACAATCTCCAACTTTTATGACTATCAAATTTCATGTGCACAGAGTTAAAGGGAATTACTTTGAGTCAAAATATAAATATAAATGTATTTACTTAATAATTTGAACTTGTTATCTTTCGTACATAAACCTAAGGGAAGAAATTGTATAAAATATGAATTCAAGGTAAGAAGCTATAAGCATGAAATTTGTAGATAATAAAAAGTGGAAAATTTGCTGTTGATAGACCAAAGCCTTCCAGATTCTTTGATATTGCTATTGCACAGAACAAAGGTTTCAGACAGATGAAAAATCTCCTTGAGGGAGGGAATTTTTAGAATAATGGAAGGATAAAATTAATTTATATGGCCAGTATTTATTGAATGTTTAGTATGTGACTGCCTTCAAAGAGTTTATACTAGAGGGGATAATGAGCATATAAGCTGATCATTGTAATATGAGATTTGAGTAGAAGGGATGGGGTAATCACAAAAAGATATTCAAGGAGAATATTCTGAAAGATGAAGAGTGAGTTCAGTGTTGAGGGATATCAAAGAGGGGGCTAGACCAGGAAAGGTCCAGAAGACATAGATATATTGCAGTTTCATCTGTAGTTTCTATTCACTTGTAAGCATTGATTTTCCCAAAATGCTTCATTTGTCAGGATTTTACAAAGTTATTTTTTTGTTATGTGAAAAGAAACCGTGAAATTCTGAATATAAGAAAACTTTTTTTTTTTCTCTTTTGAAATTGACCCTTGAGATGGGAAGATCGTGGGGAAATGCTCATGGAAATATGATCTTGGCAGTCTCAGTCCTGTTTTGTACAAAACAAAATTTTCACCTTTGTGAAAATTGATAGTATTTTGTTAATTGTATTAATATAACATAAAAAGGATATAATTACATATTCTGATTTTAAAATTTTGATATGTTGCTTCATAGTTGTTCAGAAACTATGAAAGAGTTGACGCAGTTCAGAGTATACTTCTCGGTACAATTTCACTGACTTATACAGAATATTACTAAATATTCAGGTGGAAAAGAATATGAAAAATCATTGGGTGGGGGTAGCAAGAAGATTTTTTTTTGTTTATTTTATATATATAATTTTATAAAATATCTCAGGTATTAGTGGCCTTGTAGATAGAAACAGGGAAAATGAAAACCATTAATGTGATAAGTAATTAAGATTATGTGTATTGTGTCTACTTTTCCATCTTTTGAAACAATTTATTACTTATTTTAAAAGTTATTTTTATCTTAAAAGATAAACTCAGTTTAAAAATTAGTGAAGATAAGAAATTATTAACCAAACTTCCTAGAATTAATAACACTGCAGTTAAGATCTTGGTTGAATTTTCTTTGCATTATTTTTGTATGGTATGTGATAACTTTTATTGAAGACAGTCTAGAGCAGTGGTAAGACTTCTGTAAATATTAGCTAGAGTTGGTTTTATCTGGGCTTTAATAAATCCCTTTATTCTAACCTCAAGAAATCCCCTCTCTCTCTAGTTTCTTCCGTGGTGACACCTATAATTCATAGGGGTGATCTCAATTTTCTGCCTCCATGTGATCATTTTTCACATTTCTTTTTTCATTTCTTTGTTCTTCTCATCCTCACCTGCATAGTTTGAGTTTTGGGCCCTATTTTGATCTGAGTAATTGCCTCCAATGTGACTGCACTGTTACTTCCTTCATTTTCTTATTGATACCCTTTTGACAGATATGTCTTCATCTTTATCTGTCCTCGTCTATGGATTTCTGCTTTGATCACATACAGGCTCTATGTCTTAACTTTTTCTGAACCAATAGAACATACACAAAACTGATAATTCTCAACAAGTGCTATGATCGGGGCTTCAAGTTTCTTTTTTACTTTGCCTCTCCCTATGGCATACTACTACATGTGGAGCACTATCATACAGAATGTAGTATGTCATTTCATATAACAAGGATCAAAATACAGCTTGTGTACTTTGACTTTTCTGACTAGTGTTTATTGATCCTGGGTCACAGTTCCTTCAGGTTTTTACTCAGTGTATAGTTGTCTTAAATTCTGGCAATATGCTGATTGTTAATTGTAGTCTTCCTTGGTGGTGTTGATTTTTCATTCTCCTCCCATTTCTTCAATTAACTTTTTTGTTCTTTCCTCAACTGATGTATTTAATTTTGTTTTTATAAGTGATGTTAATTTTATTTTTGTTGCATATATGTTTCAGACTTCTCATTCTATTGAGGACTCAAATGGTATATCATTTTCTTATGGCTCCTATTACAAATCATTTGATGGGGTATGTTTTTTGTATATATTTTAGAATGATTTCTTTCCTTTGTTCTAGAATATTGTGTATAAATCCTATTTTGAACTATTTTTATGGCTTATTCCTATTTACTGATTTCTGAATGAGGAGAGAAATGTTGAGATTTCACATATGCCTACAGATAGGAGTGTATGGATTCTCCCTCACGTGGCTAACTTTCCACTTAGGATCTGGCTGAAACTCAAATCCTGAGATGGAGAGCAAGGAACGGGGGCAGCTCTCTGCTCTGCTTCTTGTTATTAAGCAATCATGCAGTCACTTAGCTTGATTGTAGTGGGTTGGGATTGTCCCTGTTTGCTGACACTCTAAGCCAAAGGTGACATTGAAAAATTAAAATCTTCAACATGCACAATTGCCAGGTGTCTTTGTGTCTCAGCCCATATGTACAAAATACCTTCCTTGTGACCAGCTCTGTCCCCTATATGTCTGTTACTAACTTTATAGGCATTTTGATAGAAAAATAGGTGATACTGCTTTGAAGGTATCCACACCCTCCATTTTTAAAAAATTGCCTCTATTTTTTTCTCATAAATTGAAATAAGCTGAGGTTAGAAAACATCTGGAGCATAATATTAAACATAAATCTAGGATGGAAAGTTCATATAAATATAATACATTATAGCCCTAGTATGGTACTTTCTAATGATTTAATTTAACATTGTGAAAAATTAGAATTCATTGTTGAAATAGTAAACTCATGAAATACATAATGTACATGCTGCGTACCATTTTCTTTGTGCACAAAGGCTCCTTGAGGAGATTCAGGGATACCTTTCCAGACTGTGATTGGTTTGGGATAGCCAGGATCCATGGTCTTCATTTCTTCACTGTATCTCCAATACCTAAAAAGGATAATAAACAAAACAAAACAAAACAAAAAGTGCATAGGGAAGGAAATTATGTATACACAGTAATAGTATTCACTAACTCCTTGCTGTATGCTATCTGTTAATGGTTTACAGGACTCAGTAAAAACACTAGAAAGACAGTGGACACAAATAGCATTCATTCTGTTTCCTTTCTTGCATATGTTAAAAGTGAGTATTGTTACTGCATATTTATTCAGTCTGCTAAAATTAATTTAAAAATTCTAGCTAAAATACATTATGCTTGCTAAATATATTTAAGTTATTCACTAATCTATGGATAAGTAAGAGGTTTTTATGATTTTTTATAAAACTTGCTTAGGCAGCAGAGTACTTTTTTTTTTGAGTCATCTTTAGCAGAATCTTTATTTATTTATTCATTTAAGAAATATTTACTGAGTACCTTTTATGTTCCTGGCATATTTTAGGTGTTAGAGATACAACTTTGAACAAAACAGATATTCTCCAGCTCTCAGCTCTCATCAGTCTTACATTTTAGGATATGTACAGGTCATTGGCAATAAAACAATTTCTTAGTAAATACATACTGTGATAGGAGGTGTTAAGATTAAAAAACAAGCAGTAAATTAGCTAGGAATATGGAGAAGCAATTTTAATTAGTGGACAGGGAGTCCTTTCTTTATCAGACATTTGAGCAGAAAGGAGTAAGGTATGACACATACAGCTTTTGGGAGAAATACTTTCCAGGTAGAGGGACTAGTTAGTGAAAAGTTACTGTGGCAAGCACAAACTTGGAGTACTTAAGCATCCACAAAGAGGCTAGGGTGACTAGGATTGAGTTAACATATGGAAGAAAAGGTCAGAGTGGGAACCAGAATCTAAGATTAGATAGACCTTTATACAATTACAAAGCCTCTGGTTTTCCACTAAGGGATATGTGAAGCCAACATAGATTTTGAGCAGGGAAGCTTCAAGATATGGCTTATGTTTGAAAGGAACATGCTGGCTGCTTTGATTTAAATAGACTTAAGGAGGTAAAATAGAAGCAGGGATACCAATTTAAATGTCACTGCAGTAAACCTTGGACTAGAATGTAAATTGTAGAGTTAATGATAATTCAAGAGATTAGGATATATTTTGAAGGAAAATCCCAAAGAGCTTACGAATGTATTGAATGCAGGATGCGAGAGGAGGAAGTTGAGCATAACTCAAGAATTGGGGCCTGAACATGTGGAAGAATAATGTTGCCATTCAGTAAGATAAGGAAATGGGGGAAGGTAAGTTGATTTGGTTGGAAGAATGATGAGTTTGGCTTTAGATCTGTAAAATTCAGGTACCTGCAAGACATCAAAGGGAAGAACTGTTGATGAGGCAATTGGGTATCTGAGTATAGACTTTAGGGCAGGTCTTGACTGGAGCCCTTGGTGTACAGATAGGAGAACCAGATAAGAGGAAAGCTTGTGAAGAGTCAGAACTCTCGGATCCCCATGCCTTCATAGCGAGGCCCATGAACCACTCCCACAGAACTGCTAGACATCCAATGAATAAACTGTAACCAGCCCTACTATCCTGGCTCATTATTGTTTAAAATGTTCTAAGAATTAAATGAGTTTATGTCTTGAATGTTCAAAAGAAATGACAAAACTGGAGTGAAACCATTGATAGTTCACAGTATACTGCATACTTTAAGGCAGCCATATGATCTATGCATTATCTCATTTAATCACAACAAACCCATGATAGTCATCACTGTCCCCTTCTAAGAGAAGAGAATTCTAAGAGGACAATGAGGGTTACATTTATAACCAGTTCTATCTGACTTTAAAAGTCCCTACTCTTGGGGCACCTAAGTGGTTCAGTTGGTTAAATGACTGCCTTTGGCTCAGGTTTTGGGATCAAGCCCCACATCAGGCTTCTCCCTCTCGTAGGCCCCCTGGTCTCTCTCTCTCTCTGTCAAATAAGTAAATATATATATATATATTTTTTTAAAGTCCCTACTCTTTTCTCCAAGCACACCAAATATGTTTTCCAAATTTAAATTTATGTAGCAACCTTTTGTCTTTTTTTCCACTAAACATCTCTTATCATCTGCTAAAGCTAGTGTTTTACCCACAGGTTTGGGAAGTGACATACTTAATGCATTATCTTGGGATTAGGCACTTTGGCTGAAATCAGAAAAAAATAAAGTTTTTCTGGTCCTTTTTGGATTTTTTTTTTTTTTTTTTTATTCAAGGCCTATGGAAGATTCTTATTCTACAGAGTTATGGGGTTTTTTACATTAGGTTTTGCTGTAATTCCCTAGAAATATCCAGTCAAGTAACATCTGGAATATTAGCAACCATTCCATTCTCAATGTTTAAATTTAAAAAAAAATTTTTTTTTTAATTTATTTGACAGACAGAGATCACAAGTAGGCAGAGAGGCAGGCAGAGAGAGAGGAAGGAAAGCAGGCTCCCTGCTGAGCAGAGAGCCCGACGCGGGGCTCGATCCCAGGACCCTGGGATCACTACCCGAGCCGAAAGCAGAGGCTTTAACCCACTGAGCCACCCAGGCGCCCCCCATTCTCAAGTTTAAATGGAAAAGAGAAAAAGATTGTTTCAGGAAGTATTCCAGTAAGTAACCATAAGGCAGATTTTATCCAAAAAGGGAAATACCCTCTTACAGGTATTTACTGTAGATTCTTATCTCAAGAGGATGAGAACAGATCTGATGGAAAGGTCAGGAAAATCTTCATGGAGAAGACTGAGCTAATATAAAGGTGATTGGGCCTGTCTCTTTGAAGACAAGTTGGCAGAATCATTAGCGTATTATCCTACCAATTTTGAAGTATATTTTCATTCACGTTTAGTTCATGGGAACATCTGCTTTAAAAATATTCCTGAATATTCTTTTTCACAAACGATTCTGTGATGAATATAGAATAATTAATGTGGTTGAGATCGCCCTCAAAATTTCAAGATATCTTCTCTCAAGTAAATATTTCAGTGCGGTTTGCAATAGTCATATATATATCAACTGGTTCCTGCACTTGACCACAGAGAAAACCTCTCAGAGAATACTAGTCAAATGCCTTATTTTCGGATTCTGAGAAACATTTTTTTCCTACATTTTACATCACTAAAATCAGAATGCACTTTACAATAGATACTGTATCAAAGTTTACTTGGTAGAGTTTTCCCCTCCATGATAGTTTAAATAATGACATGTTTTACAATAAATACCATTTTTAGATATAAGCTGTAACTTAAAGTAAGCTATTGCTAAGCCAGAGGTTTGGAACAATTAAAAATCCTGGGGATAATGGGATCACACCCTGTATGTAATTTAAGAAAGATTAACTACATACTTAGAAACCAGGGTTGTTCTTTGAGAAGTAGTTGTAACAATGTTCATATAACAATACCAATAATTTATGTAGGTTTTTGTAGCTATAAAGTAAATTTGTACATACATTGAGGGATAAATCCCTCAACAATCTTCTATATTGCATATTACAGTGTTTTCTATGATCATATCCTAAACACAGATTTAGTATGACTGGAACTCAGTCAGTGCTAGAGCATTAAAAGATAATGATTTAGTTGCATTTGCTCCTTTGAAATGTTGCAAAGTTGAGACTCTAATGCTGCTGGATTCATAGGTTAGCACATTACTGTTATTGTTTCCTTTGGCAGAGCATTCTTACTCTCTTGGTGCTATCTCTCAAACTCTTCAGATACATTGCTCGAGTATAATTTTCCTTCTTTTCTCCTTCTGTTCATTCATAGATCCACTGACCCATCAATACTTTTTTGAGCCAGGCACATAAGATTCATAAGATCACATTTCAAGAAAATATAAATGGAATGTTCATATCAATAAGAGACAAAAACTGTCCATGTAATGGTATACAACATTTTGTTAAATGCTCTCTCTGCTACGAAAAAAAAAATGGTATAGAAAATTCTAGAATGCCATATTTTAATGGGATGTTGCTGGATACTGAATTCAAACTGAAAAAAAAGTGGCTCCAAGGGTTATTTCACATGACCCAGCCATTTCTTCATCCTAGTTTGTCTCATTTCTGTACTACAGAGTCAAAACTACTTGCTTCTCTTAAATTACACAACATATATGACGACTTCTTTTTTTTCGTACCCAAATAGTTATTAAAAAAATTACACTTTTCAGAAACATTCTTAAACATGCAGCAGAATTGGAAATATTAATTTATACTGTGTTGGATGATTTTAAAAACATATATTGAGTAATTCATAAACACACAAGTTAAGCTGGAGAAAATAAATATGTTTTTCTGTTTGACTATTAGTGGTAAAAATAGTAAAAACCAAAGTGGATCTAAATTTTGTCTTTCATTGAAAAATATCTTAAAATTCTTAGAAGTTAAGCTTAGAATGAAGTATGGCAATAGAGTCCTGTATATATTTGTGAGAAGATGCTGACAGATGATTTAGAAACATAGCATTTTAGAGTTAAATGCTAGGAGGATCCAAAATGTATCCAAGTATCAAATTATAGTGTATTAAGAAAAGGGCAAGTAGGAATCTGAGGAACTAAGTTCCAGGCTATATGTAAAATAGTGAAATAGTGGAAATTTTAATCTCACTTTACAGATCTATTTAAAGAGCCATCATTTCAGCTATTCGTCTGGCTCTCTCTATACTTAGATTTGAGGTAGGGCCCTGCTCTTAATGATGTTTACCATTCTCTAATGTGTACCTCAGACTGATCTTTCCACTGAGGAGCAAACTCAATTATCTAAGTACCTACTTGATTCATCCAGTTGGTATGTAAAACAAGCATCTCAATCTAAATATGAACATTTCAATCTTTTAATCCTTTCCCCTGTATTCCTTCCCCTGTCTACCCTATCTCCAGAAATGGCACCATCTATTCAGTTTTTCAGGTGAAAAACCTAGAATTTATCTTTAGTTTTCTTTTTTCTCACCCCTAGGATCCAAGCTGTAACAAAGACTTGTTCTGATTACATTCAAAATATATCCTGTACCCACCCTTTTTGCTCTATCTCCACTACCAACATGGTATCCCTCTGTACTACTCCAACAACCTGCCAGTTATTCTCTTTGCTTCTCTCCTGAAGCCCATTCTTCACACAGAAACCATAGTGATGTTTGTGAGTACAAATCAGGTCATTTCCCTTTCCTCTTGAAAATTCTCCAATGCCTTTCCATTGTTCTTAGAATAAAATCCAATGTCTTTGCTATGGTTTTTAGGGCCCCATATAATCTGGTCCCTACTTACCTATTTGACTTCCTTTACCACTTAACTTGCTATTCTCTAGCCAGAATGTTTTAACTGATTTAAACATTCCAGTATTAATGTTTTTGCACATTATGTCATCTGCCAACAACATATTGTTCCAGACAGCTTCATGTGGCTGATTCACCCATTCAAGTTCCCACTCTAGTGTCCCCTTCATAAGTGAGGCTTTCTCTGACTTCCACACTAATTTTCTAACTGTTCCTTACCACCCATGAGTCTCTATCACATAATGTGATAAATCAAATTTATTTCTTTGTAGCATTTCTCAATGTTAAAGTTTCAGGCTCATTTACTTGTTTACTGTTTACCACTGTCTCCTTTAATAGAAGTTAAGTGCCATGGAAGCAGAAGCCTTGTGGTCCTTTCTAGCATAGGTCACAACATATATGCTCAAAATATTTTTTTGAATAAATGAATGAGGGTATGCCAGGACTACTATTGAAATCCTAAGGAAGTAGGAATTAGAGCTATTGAGAGTGGAAAAGACTGTCTCATAGTCATACTTCACCATGGAGTTGGATAGAGTAAGATGAATTCCTACTGTGGAGTGTAACTGAATGTGTCTATACATTGGGTAGGACATGAACAAGATTCAGAGCTGACATATGGTAGCACTTGGACCAAATCTAAAGCTGTGCTTTGTTTGTCTAGCAAATTAAATAAATGATTCTGGTTTTGAGTGCTTTTCTAGTGTATTTGTACTTTCCAGTTCACTACAGTACCCATCATTTCCTACTATCGCCTTAATATCATCCTATTGCTGTACCTAGTAGTTTATTTCTTATTTGCCCAACCCTTTAAAGCAATTGAGTTTTTTATGCCTGGGCTAGATTATTTCTAAAACCCTTTCTAATCTTAGCCTTAGAGAAATGGAAACCTGTTAATCAACACCCATACCCCTCACCTGCCCCACCACCCTTCTTAAGCAGAAATATTGCAGTGGGAGAAAAAGGAGAAGTAAGTAAGGACAAAACAATTTCTCTCAAAAATATACATAGAACATAAACCATTAAAAATTGATAAGTATTAAAAAATATACAATATCTGTAAGGAAGAAAGACAAACTGAATTCGTATATAAAAGTGACAACCAAATTGTTGTTTATATGTTTCAGTTAGGTAGTTTACTGTCTTGTCCATATACTTTTAATCTTGAATGAATATACTGATAAACTGTGATTTTGGAATTATAGATTTATGTGAATATGAATTAATCTGCTTATAAAACATCTATGACTTATGAAATCATACATAAGATCATACACATGGAAATTAATCAGATTCCTCTTTTAAATATTTTTAAATCTATATAATCAATTAATTAGGCAGAGCTTAAAGTATTTCTTCTATATATTTTATTATATTTGCCTGTAGCTTCTCAAGTAGGAAACAAATGAACTAAAACTCCTTTTCCCATTTACTACTGCCTTCATTCTAGTATGAATTTGGTATCTAACCTTCATTGATTTCACTGATTTAGAAACATTTAGTTTCTAAACTTATTTTTCAGTAAGTGCTAAATTTCTATATTGGAAACATTTTAAAAGCAATACCTACATGTGTGAAAAAAAAATAGGCTATCTGATAATAGAATGGCAGTTTTTATTAGCATCTGTGAAATTCTGTGAAAGCTGTTCCATGAAAGCTAAGCTTCATGTTCTGTCCTGCAGAAGTGTGTTTCATCAGCCTTTTGTTTCTACACCTTTCTCCAAAAACAAACAAATAAGAAAACCTAAAACAACAAAAAACTCTTTATTGAACCTGGTTCTAAAAGAGTACATTCAAGCAATTAAATCGCTTGGGGACTTAAACTCTAACAACCTTCAGGGTTGTTATTTTAAAGAATATATTTGAAATCTGCAGAATTATTTTCATTAGTGCTCACCATGCTGTGGCCATCAATTTCTTCATTCTTCTTTCATACTCTATTACACTCATATCTTCCTGAGAATCATATACTTTTTGTGGCTATAAGTAGCATCTTCTCCTTTAATAAAATTTTTGTTTGACACACCTTTTTTGTTCTGTGATTTTATAATCAGTTAGCACCTTAGTTTCATGATAGTACATTAAAACATTTTGTTACAGAAGTATATACAAATCTAATATATAGAGAGCTAGCAACAGAATAAATTGAAAAGTATACATTCTTATCCATGGAGAAAAATTATAGGAGGTATTTGTTCACAGATAAAGCTCAATGTTTGAAATGACTTGCAATTAAAAATTGTAATTTATAAAATAAAGCTTATATCCTTACATATTTTTCTCCTAAAGTTCGAGACATTTTATATGGTTATACTATGCCAAGATTATAAGGCAAACTCAATACTAGCTAGATGGGCATTCAAGCCTGTTGTTCATATGTGTGTTTATGTGTATAAGGGTGTGTATTTTTAATTTACTATAAAATGCAGTAAAATGCATACTTAAGTTCTACATACTAATAAAAATTATACTGAGTGTCACATTTGACCCAGATAGTAATAGTGTAATTAAAAATTTATTTTTCGGGGCGCCTGGATGGCTCAGTGGTTAAAGCCTCTGCCTTCGGCTCAGGTCATGATCTCAGGGTCCTGGGATCGAGTCCCGCATCAGGCTCTCTGCTCAGCAGGGAGCCTGCCTCCTCCTCTTGTCTCTCTCTGCCTGCCTCTCTGCCTACTTGTGATCTGTCAAATAAATAAAAAAAATCTTTAAAAAAAATTTATTTTTCAAAAAAAATTATTTTTCATCTCTATTGTTTTTTCTACCTAATATTAAATTAATAAAAAATATAGACTACAAGTTACATTTTATGTATAATATATATCAAAGGCACACAGGAGTGGAGCTATGTATGCCTAGGAGATGCTATTAAGACTAACATTTCACTTAATTTTTTATAATGCCATAAAAGAAATGAAAGGAAAAGAAATGAAAGAGAGTTGCAGGGAGTTTACACTTTAAGCTAAGTGATTGTTTTACTAGTTCATAACAACTCTTTGTTGGTACCTAAATAATTAGCATGACTAAACGGAATTGAAAACATTTACAATTAATAGCGTGCAAAATATAAAAATTTAACTTTCAATATGAAAGCAAAAAAAAAGACTTTGTGAAAGTGTGCTTTTCAAATAAAGTTAAGCAAAACGACAAGAAAATACTGCCTACACAGATTTATAGCATGTTAAGCTTATGCAGAAGAGGAAGAACATCTACATTCAAAGGTCATATTATTTATGTATATTACAGGAAGATTTATCTTGAACATTATTTAAAAATATGTTAAAAATATTTTTATTTCATTAATTCTTGTCTTTATATTCACACAGATTCTTAATCAACAGTACATGTTTATTATAGAGTAGAAATATTAACTTCTCTAAACAATTAGTTAACTATTTTCCTCATGTGAAATGTGTACTGACCTGTCCCCCTTGAAGAAATAGGTTTTCCCAACATCTTCCCACCAAATGGCTGAATCAATACCATGAGGAGGAATTCCACTTCCAAGAGTAATCAAGTCGTGAGGATAACCGGGTTGAAGAGTTGTATCCTTAAACACCCAGTATTTGTTACCTGTATGAAATAAGTGCAAATGCAGAATACAATAATTTAATGTCAGAAATTAGAATATATCTATTAATACAGTACATTTAAAGTTATTTTACATGAAATCCGTAAAATAGGTAATAGTCACATTTGGAATACCGATTTTGTTGGAAGATTAGCTTCAAAAGTGGATAAAATGAGTAACTATTTAGTAATATAATTAGAATTTGTGAATTAATTTAAGAAATAAAAAAGATCTACAACTTGCCATAATACAACAATTCTGAATCAAGAATCAGGATTTTTCCTCTAGGAATTAGACGTGCTATTTTTATTTAAGGCTAAATCATTACTGTGTTTTGTGCATTTTGTATACCCTCAGATTGCTTTTTGATTATAACCTCTACTCTGTTGAAACACAGCCTCCAAACTGATCCTTTCTATTATTATAAACATTCACAGGTTCCTTTAATCTTAGTCATCCTCCTTTTTCTTTTTTTTTTTTTTAAAGATTTTATTTATTTGACACAGAGAGAGAAAGATCGATCACAAGTAGGCAGAGAGGCAGGCAGAGAGAGAGAGGGGGAAGTAGGCTCCCTGGTGAGTAGAGAGCCCCAATGTGAGGCTCGATCCCAGGACCCTGGGATCAAGACCTGAGCTGAAGGCAGACCCTTAACCGACTGAGCCACCCAGGTGCCCCAAGTCATCCTCCTTTGACCCTATGCTCTCTTTTAGCTGTTATACTATCCCTCTCTTTAAAGAGTAGAAACCTAGGGGAGGAGAATTTTAACCCTACCTTTTTTGGAATTGCTAGAGCATGGCTATATTAAAAAGAAGACAAAGTTTAGTCAGTTTTATTTCTGTTTTGAAATTATCTACAGACAACACACTTCCTCATGTTTTATGTCTCTGGTAGACTATATCTACCACTCTCCTCTTTGGTAAGCCTCTCAAGTAGTCTATAACCATTCCTCACTCCACTGAAAGTTGATTCCTCACACCTACTTTCCACTGAAAACTTTTGTTGTTGAGTCAGCAATGTCTTTCAAGGAAACAGTTCTCTACACTTACCTGTTGACACAGTTGCCGCTTAAAGCACTTCTCTTTCTAAGCTGCTAGAAAACCATTTTTGGGGGTGGGGAGTCTTTTCTCCAGCTTCTCCATTCTGGGCTTCCCCCCCCACCCCCCAGTTCTGTCTGTCTCCCTTCAACTCCACACTCCAAGTCTTCTTCCCCTGGTCCTTCTGGATCTTTCTGCAATTAGTATCTCTTATCACTAACTCCTGAGGTTAACATCTGGTGAAGTAAAACAGTTAATAATCTATTAATATCTGACAAAGTATCCTATATTCTTTCTAATAGATGTAAACCTTACTTGTTAGAATATTTCAGTACTACCCCTAGATGAGGACTAGGATAGCCTATAGCATTCGTGTTACACCTTAAAGAAATTAAAAAAAAAAAAAATTAAAACCATGCTCCTGTCTAAAATAACACAACACAAAGCAAAAATATCATGTTTTCAGCCTAGATTTAGTTAGGTGTCTCTAGTTTGTAATAGGAGTAATCTTATTTACTTCAAGAGCTTCTACTACCACTTAATATCATTTTTTAAAAAGATTTTATTTATTTATTTATTTGACAGAGACCCGGCGAGAGAGGAAACACAAGCAGGGGGAGTGGGAGAGGGAGAAGCAGGCTTCCCACTGAGCAGGGAGTCCGATACAGGGCTCGATCCCAGGACCCAGGGATCATGACCTGAGCCAAAGGCAGACACCCAACAACTGAGCCACCCAGGCTTGTTTTTTTAAAAAACAACATTTCTTGAGTCCCTTCAGGGTCCTAATTATCATGTTAGGTACTAAGGACATTAAAGGGAACAAGACAGACCTGATTACCATACTGATCATCCTACATTCTAGTGGATTGGGCAGATGAAAACCAAATATACAAAAATATAATTGCAGTAGTTGAAAAACTACTGAATGCTACAAAGGAAACACATCAGGGGCTGAGAAAAAAAGAAATCCCAAGGGGATAATTCTTTTAAGTAAGGAGATCAGGAAAGCCTCTCTGAAGAAATAAAACTTAAACCAAAATTTAAGGAAAGAGAAGATGATATCTATGCATTGAATGTCAGGAACAGTATCCCAAGCAAAGGAGTTTGGTGTGATTAAAAATGAAAAGATCAGGGGCACCTGGGTGGCTCAGTGGTTAAAACCTCTGCCTTCGGCTCAGGTCATGATCTCAGGGTCCTGGGATCGAGTCCCGCATCGGGCTCTCTGCTCAACAGGGAGCCTGCCTCCTCCTCCTGTCTCTCTCTGCCTGCCTCTCTGCCTACTTGTGATCTGTCTGTCAAAAAAAAAAAAAAAAAAAAAAAAATCTTTAAATTAAGAAATGGTCCTTTAAAAAAAAAAAAAATGAAAAGATCAGTGGAGTGTAATGACCAAGAAGAGAGTGGTACTGAAAACATATATGGTGGGTTTCAGTCTTATTTTGAGTGCACTGGGAAACCATCGAAGATACTAAATTAATGGAGAGGTATGATGTGTTTTATAATTACAAAACATGATTTTTTTTTGTCTTTTGTGGAAAATGGACTATAAAGAGAAGAATGGAAATGAGAAGACCTGTCAGTGGTCTTTTGCAAGAATTAACTGAATCATTCATCGACAACTTAGTACATTTACTAAGTTTGCCTAAGATTTACTAGGCAATGTTTTAGGCACTGGAGATGTAGCAGTGAATAAAAAGGGTAACATCTCTACCTTTTGGAGCTTAAATTCTAGTGAAGGGGTTTGGGAAAACTGACCTTAAACAAGGAAATGAAGGTAATTTCAGAGAGAAAATTATTGTAAAGATACAAAAAAAAATACATTAATGTAAAATTGATGGGATTAGGTCGGGGCATTGCTTGTACTGGACACAGGAAAGATCCCTTTATTCAGATGACATATGAGTTGTAACTTACATAATTTAAAAAAGGCAGAACAGTGAATATGGTTTGAAGGGGTAGAAACACCAAGGAAAATGCCATAATGGGAAGAACCTTGTTAGAGAGGTAGAACACAATGTTGTAGGAATGTGCTAAGGACAGAGGTAAGGATAATGTGGTCTCTGTCAAAATCTAAACTTTATTCTAAGTGAAATAGGAAGCCACTGGATAGTTAAATTAAGAAGTTTTTTGCTAATAGCTTGTAACAAGGTCACAGCAATCGTGGTGGAAGGAAGAAAATGGAGTCATGACACATTTTAGAGATGGCACTGATAGACATTGCTTTCAGGCTGGCTGTGGAGAATTTTAAAAAAGATAGTATCAAGTATAATCTTTAAGTTCTGACTTTTGTCAACAAGAGAATAATAATTATATAAAATAAGCCAAAGAAAACTGGGGTATATGAGCTGTAAGGGGTTCAGATTGAGAGTTTGAGATGTGAAGTAAGCAACTGGATATATGAGTTTGAAGATAACAGTTTGTAAGTTACAAGCATAAATATGGTATTTACTAATTTAAGATTTGAAGAAATTATCCAGGGAAGACTTTATAGAGAAGATGAAGAGGAACCAGAATTGGGCTTCTAGAAATATACGGCCCTCAAAGAGATCACAAGAGAAGAGGGAAGAGTAGGCAAATGCAAAGGATGAAGAAGAGGCAGGGAGGAAGACTAAGTAAAAGAAAACCTTAGAAGCCAAAAAGAGAGTGTTCATAAATGGCTGTCTCTAATCCAAATAGCTCTTGGGAGCAAAACAGTATATATAGCTACCTACTGGGATTTTCTACAAAGCTGATCCACATGTTCAAATTTGAGCTAATCAAAGGACCTTTCTTTTTGTTTTCCCTATTTAGGTAGATGGCCTGCTAATTTCTCAGTGCATCACATCTGAAACCTCCCTGTTTATTATGTTTCATATCTGATGGATCATTACATTCAACTGCTTTGATTGCTAAACTTTTCCTTAAACCTCTCACCTGTAGTCAATTCTTACTGCCACTGATGTAGGTAAACTTCAGCTATCCCTTCTAAAGGTAATTATTTTGTTTACAAGCTCTGAAGTAGGTCCCATTATTCTCCATATCTTCTCTATATATTACCATCCAAGACTAGAGCCAGTCAAAATTCTGCAGAGTTATGGATCATAGGTTAGGCAGATGAGCAGAGATGAACAGAGCCATTCATTTTCTTTCTTGGGAATGTGACCCAGGGAATATTGAGAGACATTCCCACTTAGCAGAGGGAAATGCCTATTCATTACATAGTATGAGGCTTGAAGAGCCATGATGGGCATAGGCAAGTGTACATTATGAGGATGTATAAATTGAGTAAACAGAGAGGGGAATTGAAAGAGAGAAGAGAATGGAGCAGAAGCAAAGAACAAAGGTACAAACAGGAGAGAGACCAGGAGGCTTTTTAGAGAAATGGCAAGTATAGCCAGTTCTCAAATGACTTTCTGTCACACACCCACCCCTAAACGCAATTCATCTGGTTGGGTTTATTTTTCTTTTAACTGAGTAAGATTGTTCAGTATTAATTTTTGGCCACCCAAACATCACACAAGGTATTATGCGCTTGAGCCCCCAAGTCTGTTAGCCAGAGTCATGAATCATTCTCTAGATGAGGACAAGATTGCTGTCTTCCATCCCTGTGCCTTAAGAGCAACACTTTTGTTTTCTAGCTTACAGTATTTCAGTAACCTCCTTTCTTTTTTTTTTTTTTTTAAAGATTTTATTTATTTGACAGAGAGAGAGAAATCACAAGTAGGCAGAGAGGAAGGCAGAGAGAGAGGGGGAGGAAGCAGGTTCCCTGCAGGGCAGAGAGCCCGACTCGGGGCTCGATCCCAGGACCCTGCTGGGATCATGACCTGAGCGGAAGGCAGAGGCTTTAACCCACTGAGCCACCCAGGCGCCCCAGTAACCTCCTTTCTTATCTCCCTGCCTTCAGTCCCACTTCTATCTATCTTCCATAAAGTCATTAAAATGATCTCTCTAAAAGGCATACCTGATAAAGAGAGATAAAGAGAGATAAGACA